TAACAAAGAAAAGCGGTAAAGATTATATTTTCATTAGCGAAGAAAGTAAGATACCGGATTTAATTTGATTTATGTTACGACGCGGCGAAAGAAGATAGCAATCTGCCCATGGCAATAATGAAAATTGCAGGTTGGTCAAGTGGCCTACGAAACAGAAACTGGGAGATAATGATAATCAGGTCAAGCGCTCTGACCGAGAAAAATTGTCCGCTGGACAACCCACAAGTTAGAAAGAAAGAAAGATTAAACCATTAACTATCGTCGGAGATAGCATTGGTTTGAAAGAAAAACACCTGTTTTATTGTCCAAACCTGGACATGATAAAAATTATTTTATCGGAACAAATAACTGACGAAAATCTCGTTGACGAACTCCAGATAAAATTCGGTTAAGATAGAGATTAGAGACCACCCTAAGAGACGTGTGAGGTCTCCTCGAAGAAAAGAAAGAAAAGAAAAAAAAGGGAATATAATTTTTTTTCCTTTGAGCGATAATTGCAAACACCCACGTGGTTGAGCGTTCATTGGATGAAGGGTGGCGTGAGCGGTAGGCGAAGGTAAACTATGAAGAAGGAGGGGAGGCCTGTTGACGTCCCCTGAAGGGATTGGGTGAGATACCCATATGAGAAAGGAAGAATTTGGGAGGACGATTCCCTTAAACTAAAAGTTAAAGATTTCCAAAAATGGAAAGTAATAAATTTTCCTGACCGAAAACAAAGAAAACCATTAATGCGGATTTAGAATTATCAAGGAACCTCAAACCCTACAAGCCCACCCCGGTTTTGGTCGGCGTCCATATAAGCAGAGTCGCAGCGAGTGGACGGCAGCTTGCAGTTGGGGTTAGTGACAGACAGGCAAGCAGTTGAGCAGTGAGCTCTGAGACCGCATCGCAGAAAGCTGCCTTAAGATCCACGCAATCACAACCTCAGTTATAAAATATTGTCATTCATTTTTAACACATTTGAACTTTTCTATTTAATACTTTATTTTCTTTTACATATACTTGTGCGGTATTACCCTTGTTCGGACACGATTTGCATTACGGCCCGGCGACTGATTGATTTCGTCTACCTAAGATCAAATCACAACGTGGGCAGGTTAGACTAGAAATCAAAACAGTTACTTCGGTAACCAGACGTTGGAGGCGAGCTGGGAACGACAAGGCTGATACCGAATCTAACCAGAACGTCACGTTTGGTGCCGCGACCAATACCAAGTCACATTGGTCGTCACAGGACAGGATAGGACGGCGACGGTGCGGAGACAGACGGGGTGACGTCCCAATTGGTGTCGTGACCAGGATAGCACGGCCAGGCAGACATCACATTTGGCGCAGCGACCCCGCGGTGACGTCACAGACGGAAGTTTATCTAATTTTGTTCTAGGGTAGATTTGTATGTAACAATTTCATGAGGAATATAATGTGAGTGCCTTTCTCATATAATTTTTAACTGTCCATTAATATTAAAAATTTAGGAAAATATTCTCTCTTATCTAATGTTTTATTAAATTTTAGGTACACTGGTTTTATATTTACTAGAGTTATCACACTTACTTTCAAATAGTGTCATTTATAGACATCCGTATTTACAAAAATCAGCAATTTTATACACAGACAATATTCACAATTATTTTTTTAACTATTTGTGTTCGCTAAATTGAAATCATCTTTACCATTTATGATTAGTAAATATAATTTTACATAATAATAATATCAGTTAACCAATAAAAAATAAGACAGAATTATTATATTTAATTTAAAAAAATAAAAACAATTGTTGAAAAAATTCATTATTCATTGAATTTTCATTTCGTAAGACAACAGTGCCCACAATATATTTTATTCATAAATGCAATTAATTTTTTTTTAATTAAATGATGTCTTACTTTTATTGCCTTGTTTTATTTTATGATTCAGCGTAGATTTTCGGTAACAGTAGGACATGTTTTACAAAAATAAATTAATGATTTAAATCCTCCAAGGAATTCTGCTTTTAATTAATGTTATAACCTAGAAAAGGTTACTGAATGAGGAAAAAAAGCGAAACGGAGGTTGAAAATGCAATTGTAATCTTTATATTATCAAAAAAATACAATACTCGCTAGCGGTGTGAAGTAGGTAACCCACTGATAGTTGTGGACAGCTTATTACCACTTACTATTACCACTTACTATTACCATTTACTATAGTGTACAACGTATTTATGAGGATTGGAACATACCCATGAATTCTCATAGGTACGGCATATAACAACTATTATGATATTTAAGCGGTTAGAAATTTAATCTCTCAAAATTTAATAAAATTATTTAACTTTAAGTAACAGATGTTAAAAAATATATTCTTTACTAAAATTTTCTAAGAAAGAAACGTTTATAAAGTAATTTCATTTATCATAAATAAAGCTTTAAAGTTTCATTAAAAGCTGACAATTATTTTATTTTGGCAATAATTTCGAAATCATTGTTTCTCACGCCAAAATGACGCTAAAATCCCCTATATTCATCTTTGCAACACTTCTCCGGCAATCATACAAAAACATGATATTTCACTAAATTTCGAACATTCTCAAAATGTTTGTCTATATCTCTGAGATGAGTTATTATGATTATTTACATTATTTATATTATTCGGATTATTATCCTCATCTTTCTTGCCATATTCAAAACGTTTAGGCCGTTGTACAATCCAGCCTTCTTTCGAACCAAAAACCTTATTTTGTCATCGAACACTTTTCGAAGCGAACCTTTTATTTCGTTCCACGTGTCATGCCTCTTACGGATGTCTTAGCTATTTTCCTTTTACTCAATTCTCCAAGTTTTTTGGTTTGCCACTGCTGTAAACTCGTATTGAACTCACAGCTGTTTGGGTCTACAGAGTGGATCTAATCAACGTCTTTATCCACTGGGTCCTGAAAAACTTCCTGAAGAAGGTTTTTCCACTTAATAATAGGAATTATTTGAGAATGAAATATTGTCTTTATTATCTTTGGTGCAATTTTTCATCATGGTATGCTATATTTTTAATATCCCGAATCACTGGAAGCACCAACAATAAACTGTACAGGTTGTGCAGATAATTTAGGGACACACTGTATTTCATGTATACAGAATTTTAATAAAACGTTTTTTCTTGTATACTGCATTTTAATAAAACCTTATGTATTCACTTATTTATTTACTTTTTTTTAAACCGGATTGTAATGATATTCACGGTCACAATTCAATTAAAGCGGAAGTGACCGCTACTCTGATTGAACATGCTTTACATAGAAAAATAAACAGACGAATGGGAATTATGGGAAATAGACACAAGCAATATTCACGAAAAAATGTCGCCGATACTTTTGAATCCGTGGATTATTGCAGTCAAAATGTCATTTGGCACGCTGTCGCATAAGTTAAGTAGAGTAACTTGTTAGTGGTTATCGTTATTTTATTGCATTTACTTATTGGAAATGAAAGAAAACCTTGCTATGGAATCGAAGTAGAGCTGAAATTTAAATGAATATAGACGAGTAAAAATGAAAACACTAAAGAGGGAAACAGTCCGAAGATTGCGAAATATGGAATAAAATAATGAGAATTTTGATGCGTTAAGAGTGTGCAAAAGATAAAAACGGGTTATAAAACATTGTTAAATATGAAAGGACTGACGAAAGGAAATTGCATCAGAAATGTATGATAAAGCAATGAAGCGGGAATGAATAGATGGAAAAAAAACATGAAACGATTAAAAAGATGAAGAAAGAATAAATAGAAACGGTGTTAAAAAGGAAATATCAGAAAAAAATTAAATCAATATAAAAAGGAGAGAAGAAAAAAATGGAAGAATGAAGAATGATGGGAATGAATGACCAATCGAGAAACAGAAAGACAACGTGTTTTAAAAGAAGGAAAACGAAAGGATGCGAGAAAAGAAGCATAAATGGGACAAGAAGAAGTGCTAATAAGGAAATTAAGTTAAAGAGAAGGGAAACTTAAAACAAAAAGACGGATCCATATGGAAATCCAACGGAGAAAAAAACAAAAATAGAAATAAATAAGAATTAGAAAAGGAAAGAGAGCAAAGAGAAAAGGAATGTAAGAAAGTAGAAAATGAAAAGAGGGGCAAGAGAAAGGGAAAGGCAGTAAAAAGAAACTGAAGGACATCGAGTAGAAAAGGAATAAAGAACAAAGGGAAAAGTGAAAAGAGGAAAATAATATAGGAAGAGGGGCAAAGGAAAATGCAACTGAAAAATGATAAGGAGAATATCAAGCGAAATGCTAGAAAAAGGAAATGGAGAACAAATAGAAAATGAAGGAGATCAAGTAGAACAGGAAATACGGCAAAGAGAAATGAAGGAGACGGAAAGAAAAAAAAATTAGACAATGAAGGAGGGGTAAGTAGCAATGAAAATAGAGCAAAACGAAAAACGAAAGAGAGCAAAGAGAAAAGGAAGCTAAAGAAAGTTGAAAGAGAAAAAGGCCAAGAGAAAAAGGAAAAGACTAACAGGACTAAAGAGTAACAGTAAAAAAGAAATGAAGTACAAGTAGAAAAGGAGGTGCAGCATAGAGAAAAGAAGTTGAAAAATGACAAAAAAAAAAGAATGCGAACGTCAGGCAAAAGTTAAGAAATGAAGAACAAGTAGAAAAAAAAGGTGAGCAATTAGAAAACGACCGAGAGCAAAAAGAAATTGAAGGAGCTTGATTAAAAAAGGAAAGATAGAAAAACGAAAAAGATCGAGAGCAAAGAGAAAGAGGATAAACAGTAAAGTAAAATAGGAAGACAAAACAAAGGGGAAAGAAACTGAAAAATGATAAAAGTTGAGAATGGCGAGCGAAGTGTTAGATGAAAGAAATGAAGAACAAATAGAAAAAAAGAAGAACAGGAAAATAGAGCAAAGAGAAATGGAGACGGAGTAGATAAGAAAAGAGTGCAAAGATAAAATGAAGGAGGAGATAGTCAAAAAGGAAAGAGATCAAAGAGAACAGGAAAGTAACAAATTTAAAAGCAAGGAAGGAAAATGGAAAACTAACTGAAATTTGACAAAAAAAAACCCCAAAAAACAATGAGAATAGCGAGCGAAAGATCAGAAAAAAAGAAGGACAAATAGAAAAAAAAGAAGGGCAAATAGAAAAAAAAGAAGGGCAAATAGAAAAAAAAGAAGGGCAAATAGAAAAAAAGAAGGAAAGCAAGTAGAAAAATAAAGACATCAAGAGAAAATGTAGGAGAGCAAACCGAAAAGGGAAGACAACAATGAATTAAATGAAGGAGGGAAAGTAGAAAAGGAAAGAAAGTAAAGAGAAAATGAAGGAGAAAAAAGCCAAAACGAAAGAGAGCAAAGAGAAAGGAAAAAAAAAACAGCAAAGTGGAAAAATGGAAAAGAGCAAAGTAAAAAAAAAAGCAAAAAGAACAAAGGGGAAGGAAACAGAATAATGACAAAAAGAATGAAAATAACGAGGCAAAAGTTAGAAAAAAGAAATGACGAACAAGTAATAAAGGGAGGAAAGTATGTAGAATAGGAAAGATAGCAAACAGAAAATGAAGGCGAGCTAGTAGAAAACAAAAGAGAGACAAACGAAAATGAAAGAGACCAAAGAAAAAAAAGAAGGTGGGAAAAGGAAAAAGGACCGGGAAAATGACACACAGAATGAGAATGTCGAGCGAAAATTTAGAAAATAGAAAAGAAGAACAAATAGAAAAAGAAGGGAATCGAGTAGAAAGAGAAGTAGAAAAAATAGGAGAGCAAGTAGAAAAGGAAAGACAGCAAAGTGAAAATGGAGGAGGAAAAGTAGAAAAAGTAAGGGAGCAAAACGGAAAGTAAAGAGACCAAGTAGAAAAGGAAAAGAGAGCAATGTAAAAACGAAAAAAAGGATAAAGGAAAAGAAACTGAAAAATGAAAAAATGAATGAGAATGTTGAGCGAAAGTTAAGAGAATGAAATGAAGAACAAGTAGAAAAAAAGGAGAGGAAGTAGAAAAAGTAGGAGAGCAAGTAGGAAAACAAGGAGAGGAAGTAGAAAAAGTAGGAGAGCAAGTAGGAAAAGAAGGAGAGGAAGTAGAAAAAGTAGGGGAGCAAGTAGGAAAAGAAGGAGAGGAAGTATAAAAAGTAGGAGAGCAAGTAGGAAAAGAAGAAGAGGAACTAGAAAAAGTAGGAGAGCAAGTAGGAAAAGAAGGAGAGGAAGTAGTAAAAGTAGGAGAGCAAGTAGGAAAAGAAGGAGAGGAAAGTAGAAAAAAGAAGGAGAGGAAGCAAAAGTAGGAAAAGAAAAAGAAGGAGGAAGAAAAAAGTAGGAGAGCAAGTAGGAAAAGAAGGAGAGGAAGTAGAAAAAGTAGGAGAGCAAGTAGGAAAAGAAGGAGAGGAAGTAGAAAAAGTAGGAGAGCAAGTAGGAAAAGAAGGAGAGGAAGTAGAAAACGAAAGACAGCAAATGTACAAGGAAAGAAAGCAAAGGGGGAAAAGAAGCTGAAAATGATTAGATGAAATGAAAATGTCGGACGAAATGTTAGAAAAAATTAATTAACCAGTATAAAATTTAAAGAGCGGAAACAGAAATTAATCTAAGAGATTACGAAAAAAAACCGATGTGTAAATCTAACGACAGAAGAGGAAAGGGAAGAGGTATATATGGAAAAGATAACAAAGTAACTAAAGACAATCTAAGAAAGGACACAAAAACGATGTGTAAGTTCACCGAAAGGAGGGAAAATAAAACAGTTACCCCTTTTGTAAAGGAAATAAAACAAGTTGAAAATGATAAAAAGAGCAAGAAAAATAAATTGAAAAAGAAGTAGCCGAATGTATATGTGGCCACTGGTATTCGATGATACCTGTCTACTAGAGTGAGTAGCCAACCCCTTTTGCAGACGCTTTCTCAGGCGCATTTGTGTTTATTCAACAGCCCACCTTAGTTACAGTTTCTGGTAAAGAGCCTGCTATCTAGCGTGATCAACAATTTGATCAAGGTCAGAAGGCTTAAGCTCTCGGCCACGACTTGTGACTTCGTGCTAGCACAGCTATCGACGGCACCCAAGGGTTTCGTCTACCAAACAAGCAAAAAAAAAAAAAAAACGAGAATAGAGGGCAAAGAAAGAAACACGTGGTATGCTGTTCACGCACTTTCCAAAGGTACTGCACGCTGGAATCGACACCTCCAATACGATAACATCAGGAAGTCTGTCTCCTGACAAATTAACTAGGCTGAGATTCGAACCCAGGTCTCATGGCGAACGCTGTAACCACTCGGCCACGTACCCATAGTAGATACATGACGTACCATAGAAAATGAACATATTTGCTCAGTTTCTAGTAATTCAGCTCAGAACGTTTATAGTAATATTGGGAGAAATACTAAAGGCAAAAGACAAATTCGGAGGAAGTATTGATAGTGAGAAAAAGCCAGCAAATAAATAAAGTTAATGTTAGTAAGAACTCTTATCCAAGTCGTGGTATTCTGGTACTTGTTTCTCTAATAAATCTGGACAATATCCTTCTTTACTTGATTTGTTCCTTACCTCCTCTCCTAGCTTTTGCTGAGCTTCTCAGTACACTCTATTGACAATTCAGATTATGCTGTAGAATCTATTGTTATTTCGTTCCAATCATCTATTAATCAGGAACTACGTATTCATATCACTTTTCATTAAAAACATTCTGATTCTGTCTATATTATGAGATGTACTATGCAAACTATTTAAATTATTTGGACTATTGTCCTCATCTTTGTTGCCATATTTATCACAACGTTTCATCCGTTGTACAACCAAGCATAGAAATAAATACAATATGCAAACCAGTGATAAAGAGTGCTAGAGAAAAGCATTAATAACAAAGAAATTGAAATATGATCACTGGTAAAAAAAGATGTAATGATAAAAGCAGAAATTGCAATATGAGCACTGGAAAAAATGTTGTCGGCATTAAGTTTATAAGTCTCAGAAATTCATGCACAGATGTGTTTAAGGACATATATCACAGTGAATAAAGGCGTTGTAAGTTCAATACCTTGTTAAGGCAGTGGAGAACTCGGAGAGGTGAATTAACAGGAGATATCTGATAAATGACATCCATTAGACAAGGCATGTGGAACTCGAATAATCTACACCAGGAAGCGAAATAAAGCGTTCAGTTCGACATTCCAACCACCTGAAGAAGACCGGAACGTACAAAGGGCGAAACGTTGTGATAAATATGGCAACAAAGATAAGGACAGTAGCCCGAATTATATAAATAGAGAGCATGCAGGTTATGACATACTTCGTGACTTTCTTCGAGACGCGCCTGGGACTGAGACCTTTAACCTTCCTATTAACAATTGCGCCAGTGATGTTTCTTCTTGGCTCAAAGCCGGCATGAACGCATTTATTCCTTCTCAGAAATACCTGGTGAACCCTCAATATACTACCTGGTTCAAACCAACATGTTCTACCATTGTAGCCCACAGGAATCACTATTTCCGCATATACCATCGTAACAGTTCCGATCACTCGTGGCAGCATATAATAAATGTAAACGTGCCTTCGAACGAGTAAAGTATTTGTTTGCTGAGAGACTGAGGCAGCTGATTGCCTGTAACAGCTTCGGGTCTCATGATTACTAGCGGTTCTCTAATAGTGTATTAAATAAAAATAAGTTTTTTTTTTTTTATTTCTCCTTTATTCAATCAATATGAGGTGTTATATTTTGCCCGTAAATTCTTCTTGAAATCTTCTTTTGTTTCGACTAGATAATCACAGCCTAACTATCCATTTAGAACAGATTCACTATTGACTGATATGCATATAACCCCATTCTATGATTTCTGTTATTTTCTCTAATCTGAATCTCCTCAAATAATGTGGACCTGATAGTATCCCTGTAATAGACAATAGAAAATGTGCTCCCGGACTGACTCCTGTTCTCTCTAAACTCTATAAAAAATCCCTTACTGTCTCTTGCATTCCTTCTTGTTGGAAATCTTCATATGTTGCTCAATTCTTTAAGAAATCAGGTCAACCGTCCGACCTTTCCAAATATCGGTCTATTAGCCTTCTATCTATTTTTAGTAAACTTTGAGAAGCTCTAATCAATGCTGAATTGGTTAAACGTCTCTCATCCAAGGTCCTTCTTTCAAACAAGAAACATGGCTTATGTTTTTTACTAGTTCAGCTGATGTATTAATGATTACTGCGGAATGTTGTAGCTCGAGTTGTTGCTTTTGATATGGTTTGGTTTACTGGTCTTCTTCACAAGTTGAAAAGTAAACGTATCCCCGGACGAATTTTTGAACGTATTGATTCTTCCTTATTAAATCGTAAAATAGAATTTAATCTGAACGCCCACTCTTCGTATATAATTTTGTTCTCATGAAAGTCTCCCTCGGTGCTCTATGCTTGATCCTACTTTGAATCTAATTTTCATTAACAACCTTCCTGATGGCATCAGGTCTAAAAATGGGATCTATGCTGATGAAACATCCATTTAATGTTCTCTTAAATAGTAAGTCTGATAAGATTAAACTGGCGACTAATGTCCAAACAATATATAATCTGTTGTTAAATGGGGCAAGGTATTGATTGTTAATTTTAACGCCTCTAAAACAAAGGTGGTCTCTATTAAGATCCTTTTACACCTTCTGGAAGAATGGTTGATATTAACCTCAATAACAATGACTCGTTGGGGCTTTTCAGTCAATATTCTAGACTGTCATGAAGCGAAAAAATATATTGAATTCATTGCAAGGTCAGATGCTGAAACATTTTGTTCACTGTGTCGTACAAGGCAATTTTTCTGCCCGGAATCTATCATACATATCTAAATGTCTACGATGGTTGAATATTGCTGAAACATATTGTTTGGTGATATTGCTGTTAAGATATTCTTGATAAAATCCGACGAAGAAACAGTAATATTATCGGTACTGACAAGACGTCTTGGTTTCAGTGGCAAAGCTGCTTCTCTCTACCTTTTCTGTAAATACGGTCAAGTTCGGATGATCTCTTCTGGTACCTGTGTTTTGCGAAGTTTAGCGCTGTTATAGATTGGCAAAAGGCTTCATCAATTTATATTTAAATTGGCCAGATGTATCTGTAGGTTCAATCCTAACAGTTTATTTGCTCGTACTTCTATCTTGTGGAACATTATTCTGGTTTCACGTTTTCCAGCAAATTTGATCTAAACTTTAAATGCAGAGTCAGTTGTTATACACGTATGTCCTGATTACTCTTCTATTGTTCGAAACTCCTTAATAATGTTTGTGTTTCCTAATTCTTTCACAGCAAGTAACTACTTGTGTCTTATTGGCTTTATTGCCTTGCTTTGGGTAAATTCGATTAACAAAAAGAAGAGATAAATATTAAGAAGAGAAAAAGAAAGTTACAGGAGTATTGAAAAGACGTAATGTTTCCTAATTATTTCACATCAAGTAACTACTTGTATCTTATTGGCTTTATTACCTTGCTTTGGGTAAATTCGATTAACAAAAAGAAGGGATAAATATTAAGAAGAGAAAAAGAAAGTGACAAGCGTATTGAAAAGACGTAAAGTAAACTGAAAGATAGATTACATTTAGAATGTAGAAGAAAAGAAGAAAGATCAGAGAGCTTGTGGACATCCTGTATAAATAAAAGGAAAGAAAGCAGGGATTAAATTAGAAAATTAAGACGGAATAGAAAATGGCCGTGGGGAAGGCAATAGTAAATAATGGTTAAAGATAATGAGATATGAAGTAAAAATTTCAAATGTTGAGGGGCCACCCCCTTTTATACAAATGGACTTATCCAGTGTATACTTATACTAATTCCAGTGAATACCCGAAAAGAGAGCAAGACCGAAGAGTAGAGTCGAGTCAAGAGTGACAGGGTAAAAGGTTGTAGGTAACCGGAAGAGTGAGGGTGAGGTAACAGCATTGTAAGGGTCACAGTGAGTGAGCACGTAGACTCAGCTCAGTAAGAAGTCATATAGAGATACTTCAATATCAAATACTATATCAAAGACTATATGTATATATATATATATATATATATATATATATATATATATATTCCTAACACGTATTCCTGGAACTGCTAACCTGCATTACCAGTTTACATTATTACGTTAATACATTATTTTCATATATTCATTCCTGGCGTTTGTTATTTATTCGTACCGGATTTCAACGCGGAATCCACAACAGAAAGAAAGAAAATAATATATAGAGGAAAACGATATGAAAAAAAGGAGAAGAAACATGAAGAAAATGGTGAACAAAAGAAATAAAGAAGATGTAGTTATTAGATTGTTCGTACAATAACGACAGCTTTTATAAACAACATTTCTTGCTAAATTAATGTATTTAAACACTGTTGAAACCGATCAAAATAGGGCTGGTAGTCGTCTATTCTTCTCTTCCATCGAGCTACAATGTTATTTATGTGTTTGCGATAAAACCCTAAAGGTTTGAACCCAGGAAAAATCTTTGAATATACTTTCTGCATCTTCTTTGCAGTGGAATGTCTTCTTGCTTAACAAATTGTCAATATTCTTGAAAAAAGAAGTAGTCAGTAGAAGAGAAATCAGGAGAATATGCAGGATGTGGTAAAGTCCCGTATCCCGTGTTGGTGAGCGTCTGCAGTCTCATTCTGTCAAAATGCGGTCCAGAATTGTCAGGAAGTAGAATTGGATATCGTCGATTAAACAGTGCCTATCGCAATTTGCTTAACTGAATGTGAATTTCATCTATCTGCTGGCAGTAAACTTCGGCACTTTGGTTAGATTCCAGAAAATTGAAATGAATAATGGCGGACCACCAGACACGTGCCATAAACTTCCTACGGCGCAGTTTAATTTTTGGAAAGTGTTTGGTCCCTTCGTTATGATCCGGCCATTGATCCGATCCTTTAGTATTGTCATACATGAAGAATTTTTCATCACAAGTCACCATTCGATAAAGAAATGGATTATTCGAATTTCGCAGATACAGCATCGAACACATTTCAAAACGTCGAAATATTTGTCTTTCACTGAGTTCATGCGGAACACATTTATCACGTTTATTCAACTTGAGATGGTCTGCTAATGCTGAAATTCTAACAGCTATTATCTGAGACATTACTCTGACATTTTGACGTGATATTTTGTTTATTTAGCGTTTCAAGATGTCGATGGTAAATTTCAGATGGGCGTATTCTAACACCTTGAATCAAGTTTCGTATCCCCACTGTGGAACTCTCAGAAAATAGTGTCTACTGACCAATTACGTGTTAATCCTTCGCTCTATGTTCTGTTAATGTTCGCGGCAGTTTGTGAAGTATTAACACCAATCTTGAACTCATGTAAAAGAAGCTAAACGCATCTCATCTTTTTTCATGTTCATGATGAAATCTATAAAATGATTGTAAGTTAAATTTGATGTTGGGAGAGAGATGCTGTTCGCTATGACCTAAATGTTACATTCCCATATTGGAGACAAGTTTAAAGTTTGATTTGTAAAAGCAGTTGTATACAGCAGTTCTATATTTCTGATCGAGTCTAACTCCATGCATAGAATTATATGAAAATCTCAATATTAAGAGATTACACTGTGTGCCAAATTATTATCGAGATAACTTTTTTACAATATTTCAAAAACCGTCAAACGAATTCACACAAAATTTTCACACAATGTTGGCAACACGGACCTGCGCAATCACTAAAATTTTCGTAATGATCTGCGTAATGTAAACAAACTGGCGCCATGTTTGCTATCAGCACGGTCATTTGAGCGTGCCAAATTATTAAAAAGTGGAGAATTTAGTGAAAAGGCGGGCCGTAAAAGCGTAAGTAATGCTGAAAAGGTTTCACCTCAGAACTCTCAAAAGGTAAATCCCTAGAAATTTGAGAGTTCTGAGGTGATAGTTTTTCAGCATCAATTAGACTGCTTTTCGGCCCATATTTTCACTCAAATGGTAAAACAAATATGGCGCCATTTGTTTAATGACCGTCTGATAGCAAATTTTAGTGATTGCGCAAGTCCGTTTTGCCAACTTTGTGTGAAAATTATTTTGTGAATTGATTGGATAGTTTTTGAAATATTATGAAAAAATTTATCTCGATAATAATTTGGCACGCAGTATATTTGCGAAAACGTGATTTTAGATTTAAATTACAGTGTTGGGAGAAACTATCCTAGTCAGATTTTTTTTGTTTCATTTCCTTATCCTCTATACTTAAGGATGTTATTCACGCTGAGTAGTTTTAGTCCTGGGTATGATGATAAACTGCATCCTGCAGCAAAGCATCGGATATCGCAGGTTTTGAGGAGGATGGTACCACCTAATAATTGCTGTTTTCGCAGGTCCACGTTATGAGCAAATTGTGTACCCCTCAAACAAAACAAAAAAAACTATGAATGTATAAATGTATGTTTTTATATAAAACATAATATCAACAATAGATATTTATAGCAAAATTAACAACAATAACTATTTATAGTATATATTTAATTAGAGCCATAAAATTGTGCTTCAAAATATTTAGATTTCGGCATTAAACAACCCATAGGGATGTTGACATGCCGCTAAAAAAATCAACCAACTTTTAATGACAAAGTAAAACTTGTGACAGTCATTCATTATTAATGATATGAAAGATACATTTCCTATCCATTATATCAGTATAAGGAGTCTAGTAAAGAAGCCATCTTTGATCAGTCTTAATCGTATATTTGTTCAACATGACATAGTCATCTTAACCCATTCAATGCAACTGAATTCTGAAATTAATGATGCAGTGTCCTTCACCCGCTGTGTTGTAAATTAATCGAGAGATGACATTTCTATGCAGGAATGAGATGTATATACGTGTAACATTGTCATAAACGCAACTAGACGCGTATCTCCACAGCTGATATCAAATGCAAGATAGTATATTAAGTGTTTAATACGGAAGGAGGAACCCAAAAGGATGAAGAGGGCACATGAAACGTATACAGGATATTACTGTCAAAACGGGTCTATTTCAATGAGAAATTCCTCTCAAGCAATAATATCCAGGATAAATAGTTAAATTTAGATAAAATAAAGCCTTTAAGTAAAGTGTTACGAAGTGTATGAATAAAGTTGTAATGAAAACTCATCTTCGCCTACGCGCTTCGTCCTCTGATTGACTTTATCAAAGCAAATTTAAATTATACAAATCATTGTAGGTTCTTATATCAGTAGAGATATGTACTATGCTTGAGTGGTGTATTTTTATAATCATTTCGCCCAAAGAAAGATAATAAAGCCACTTAGGGCCAAGAGGTTTGAGGTATATTTCAACGAGTAGGCGTCGGCTATGGGGAGTTTTTATTTTGTGTTTAATCATATAGTCTTTTTACTCTAACACTAACCCTAACACACACTTACACACAAACACGCACACGCACGCACACACACACATATATATATTTATACATATAAAATTTATTATTTAAGATATAAAAGTGAAGCAGATATTTTCATATCGTGCTCAATATTAAAAATAGGGCATTGATAATATCATTTTTCATATATAAAGACTATTTAGCTGTAATTGTCCATACCAATACTTATGGACAATTACAATTAAGTAATTCTACTGTTTATTTATATATATATATATATATATATATATATATATATATATATATATATATATATATATAGGGTGGGGCAGAGCAACTTGCTTATTTGGAATATCAATTAAAACACAAGTAATGCAAGTATACATGTAATTCTTTTAAACTGCAACTAGTTCAACATTTAAATTATATTTTTTACCAGTTTTAAAGATGATATCAATAAGATGGCGTCTATTCTTCTCTATGCACTGAGTCAAAGTTTTGGGGTGACCTTGCTGTTCGTGGGAGGCCAGGTTTATTTTTCTTCACATCACCCGTTTCCCTGAAGTTGTTTACCCATGAAACAATCGACTGCCGGACAGGAACACGACCACGGGGGGCAATATTGAAATGTCTATGGAATACACGTCGCGTTGCGACGATTGAGCGACCGCTTGAAAAAAATGCCTCAACAGCGAAAGCGTGTTTCAAATTCGTCCACTCCATGATGCTCACTGGGGTTCCTGAAACATAAACAAAAAATAAATAACTCACGTTAAGAACCAAACTTTAAGCCCCCACAGTCTCAAATAAATCCATCCCTACCATTCTTGGAGCAACCATCGCTTTAGGGCGCCAAATTTAAATATGCAAGTTGCTCTGACCCACCCTTTATATTTATATATATATATATATATATATATATATATATATATATATATATATATTATATATATATATGTATATTTTTAAAGGGCCGCATACAGACTCTTGCTGCACTACATACCACATGATCTCCAAACGACTCTCCACAGGTTTTGTATTCTCCTAGACTAGTTTCCATGCAAGGCTATAGAACCCAGTCTGTTCTGCTATTTACCCATAGATGGACGGAGAAGAGGTGGATCAATAACTTTCCCAAGGGTATTAGCACGTAAGTGAATGTAATAGATTCGACTGGAGTTCGAAAAATTCGGCTCTCTCTCCCTCTCCTTCTCTCTCTCTCTCTCTCTCTCTCTCTCTCTATATATATATATATATATATATATATATATATATATATATATATATATATATATATATATATATAAAGAGGGGAAAAGATTTATGGTTGATACATATGTATGTAAATATTTGTGCATGCTTGCTTAGACCAGAATGTACTTCGCGCGGTCCGATATCACAAAACCTTGACAGTCGTTGCAGGTTGTTGGAAGTTGGCCAATACCGATTTCCCTAAATGGCGGGTAATCGTTTCCATGAAGCGTGTCTTAATTACCCTACTCGTCCTGGCCGTGAGTGAATCAAACTGGTAGATGTCCAGAACTTTGCGAAGAAACTCACTGAAAGTTGCAAACATGCCGGTGAACACAATTGAAAAGACCAAAGGAGACTGCCTGTTACTGTTAATATTGAAACTATACAAACCATTAATATGGATGTCAGTTCCTTCTATTGTTCAAAATAAAATACATAATTTTATTCAAATCATTATATATTCTTATATCAATAGAGATATGTAATATGCTTGAGGGGTATAATTTTATAGTGATTTTCCAAGCGTAGCTCAGATGTGGCACAAGGTCCAAAGCATGGGGTACACAGGGGGTGTAATTTTATAATCATTTAACCCCGAGCAAGATAATAAGGCCACTTAGAACCAAGAGGTTTAACGTATTTTTCTGTCTGTTGAGGAAGACACATATATATGTTTGAACAAAGCTTTATACGACGTTGGGCAATTTAATTCAGAAAATATCCGGGGATTTTTATTTTTTATTTTGAATGGTCATGTTAGTAAGGATAACATAAGCCGTGTCCTTATTTGGAAATATTCGACATTCATTGACCGAGCAGCATATGTTTCTGAAACGTTTACAATCATTTTCGTACAATTGTTCTTCAAGAAAAGTGTCTTATTTCTACAAAATGTTATCAATCTTTCCAGTATTGGTGGGGACACCCTTCTTAAATTTCGAATGAAATAGATTTGAACATGAATCATCTTGATTCTCTCATTATCTTCTTTTCGAGTTACATGTGCTATACATTTACGTTGTTGCTACTGGTGAATGTCCTCAAATGATGCAGTTACTCTCATTCGTTACAGTTAGTTGTCAGTGATTCTGTAGCGCCAGTCAGCCGAATTACAAGAATGGCGATCATCGCTGACATATACCTGCTTCATTTTTTCTGATAAGAAAATTACCGTTAATCAAGACATTAAAGCCACCAATATTCAAGGTGTTACTGTGAAATACATAAATAACGAGGACAATAAATGAATAGTGTGCGGAGAGAACTATTGGCATTAAATCTAAATTGTTTGTAAAAGACAGTAAAGCAGGAGACTGGAAGAGAGTTGCCCACGCGAGAAGTAGAGAAACTGATGTTTGACTTATGTTTACATGACGCAATTCACGACAGTAAAACTCAGAGACCGCTGCCAATCTAGAACTGCGCTTATATTCGTGAAGTCGAGGTAACAACAAGGCAAGATGAACAGGGCAATCACCGTGGAAATATTTATAGAAGCAGCAAATGAATATATATTACGGCGGTGATAAAGTGGCAGAAGAAGTGATGCCAGGTCAGGACCGATAACGTTGCCGATTCTTTGGATTTTGTCATCAATATCTATACACATAACAGAAACCGCAGTCTAAAGGCGACAGCAATATTCGATACGAAACAAATAGTATACCCATCAATGTGCATGATAGGTTCTTACTGTGACGACATAGTGAATCGACTTTCCGAGCATCAGAATTACGAACTGATTCAATATAATCCTCATCGCTTCATGTCTGGGGAAAACCTGAGACCAAGAATGCACAGTGAATTGATCTCGTAAAGGTTATCATCATCCATGTTGATGGAAGGAAATAATGCCATATTTAAGAGGATTAATAGAGAGAAGTTTCGTTTTAGAGGCGATAAAATTAACAGTCAACTTCTTGTCACAGTCTAAAACCGATTCTCAGTAGTAAAGTGTTCCAAGAATGATTCCATTGTCTCAAGAAGTGCACATACTAAAGCGAGAGTCAATAAGCAACAGACAATTCTATAATCTAGATTCCTACAATTTGTATAAAGACAAATTTCAAAGTGTTTACCATCAGTTCCCTGTACTCTGTCTTTTGTCAAACTTGATAGGATTCGCGACTTATCAAACAATCGTTGAAATGTTTAGCAGATGACTAAAAATTCTTTCATTTGGATATAATGTTCTATATTATCTCTAGTTTCAGTATTGTTTTATAGCACTAAAAAACTTAGTAAACAACCAGTGTAATTCAAAAGAGAAAAAGGTTGTTTTCGAAGATTCGAAACCTTTCTTGGCAAACAGTTATCTCGATTTTGAAGAGAAATAAATAGATTACTTTTGGATTATATGTGCGCTTTTCTTTCGGATTTGAAATCAGTATTTTCAAATTTGAAAATATTGATTTCAAATCCTACTGCGGGAAAAAATCTGCCTCGTCAGTCATGTATCGAAAGATACATGACTGCCTATGTGTACATCACGCATGTCACATAAGTGATACCGATTTTCAAAATTGACTAAATGGGGATTAATTGATCTTGATCCAAGATTACTTTTTTTTCTCATGATATAATAGAAAATTAGTTCAATAATATAGGGAGACTTCTTGGTTTCAAGTGAAATACCTGTTCTATTAATTGATGTGGTCAATATATATATATATATATATATATATATATATGTCGTCGGCGGCTGATGAAGACAGGGTATCGCACGTGCTAACACACGTTGTATGTTAAAAAAATAATATATATATATATATATATATATATATATATATATATATATATATGTGTGTGTGTGTGTGTGTGTGTGTGTGTAAGTATGGGTGTATGTATACCCGGCTTCTTTCTTCAATTTTTCTTTTCATTTTATTTATGCAATAATATTTTATATTTATATATTCCCTTTTTCCTCCTCTTTTTTTTTTTCTCCTTTTCTCTTTCTTCCTTTTAATCACATCATATTCGAACCAAAGATCGTCTTTCTACACTTGACAACTTGGTCCGCCAATTTTTGCTACAACTTGCGTCACGTGTGACGTCATTTTTCTTCCCCAACCTATAACTCTCTTCATCTATGTTTACCATATCACTCGCCCACACTTGTAATAATAAACTTGCTTAACGCTTTTACAGCAATCAAAATTTTAAATTCATTTTCATAAAATGTTTCGAACATGGAGGAATCAAACAGACATCTGGTTTTTGCTAACAATAGGATTTCCAATGAAAAATACCTATCTACAAAAGTATCTCTCGGTTTATACTTCGGTCCATTGATGAAGGACACAGGCGTGTCCAAAAATTCCGAAATTGGAACCTTGCTCTCCGTGCTTCATTTCTGTCAAATGGTTAATGATTAATATTTAATAAATATCATACTGTTTCATGTTGGACGCAATTGTCAGGCGGCCTGACGAATGTTTCCTGCTTGAATCAACCTGTCACCTCTGAGTGTTGACTTCAATGTTCACTTATATATATATATATATATATATATATATATAAACATTATTTTTAGAAGGTATTCATGTTATTAGACGCTCCATTCATTTGTTGCACAGTATATTTATTTATTTTTTTTTCTATTGGACTGCATATTCGAAGAAAACATGCGCTCACCGAACGGATTTGAGGCCTCGAAGAGGTCTCACCGACTCGGCCACGGCGTTGCCTTGGTGAAGAGCGAATACTTTTCTTTAATAAGATAAGTATGTATGTATATGAATAAAGATAAAAGTAAAACTTGTCCTAGGCGATGCGCTTCGTGTTTTTATGTAAGAATTCATGAAATGCATTAGTTACACAAAACCAACTCAAACTTTGTCTAAATGCTGGCACATTTAATAAAAAAGGAAACACTTTATGTAGACGGAAGATCCTCAAGAGTGCTCTAATCGAATCATATCAAAATGTGAATCTACGCCGCTGATTTCTTTTAAACATTTCCATGACCTCTTTCCAAAGTTAATATATATGATTATATTTTTCGGACAATTGTCCTCATCTTTGTTGCCATATTTATTCCAACGTTTCGGCCATTGTACTCTGGCCTTCTTCAGTTGGTTGGAATGTCGTACTGAACCCTTTATTTCGCTCACTCGGGTAGACTGTTCTAGTCCCGCATGCCATGTTTAATGTATGTCAGTTCGTAATTATCTCCTGTTAATTCTCCCTCTCCAAGTTCTCCACTGCCTTAACACTCTCAACCCCTTTAGGTCCTGTCACCGGATCTAACTAACGTTTTTATCCACTGTGCCACGTCAACCGCATGATAAAGGCCGGAGCGTACAACGGCCAAAACGTTGTAATAAAAATGGCGAAAAAAGATAAGGCACAAGAGTCCGAATAATGCAAATAGTGTACATAATACCTCATCTCAGAAATATAGACATATTAAATACACATGAGTATAAAAATCCTAAAAGAAAACTGTTAATTTCATAAACTCCTGTTAT